CTCCTCTGCAGGCTTTTACATTTTTATGACACTCTCATGTTTGTTTTGTGTTAATGATGTGGGTCTCTTTTGGTTAACACAGAGGCGCGTGATTAAATCTTCACATGTAGTGGCTTAACAACATGTAATTAAGAGCCTCCATATAGAGCAGAGCCCAGAAATACTTTGATAAATCCACATTTAAGAGATGAAACGAGGGAAGTCAAGAGTGGCGTGTCTTCTGTCGCTGGTGATTGAATTTGCCGTCTCAGTCATCTCAACCTGTTGTTTTTGACACATACGAGACATACGTGTGGATGAACAGATCAGTGGAGATGGTGTGTGTTTCCTGGAATTCCACAGGGATCCACATCTGGAAGGGATTTTTTACTGCGTTATGAAAGCTCCGGCTGCTGAGCTGAAAGCTAAAATGAACAGCAGCAGCTCACATGTTGTGGTTTTTACCCAAACTCTCTGCGTCAGGTAGCCTGGAGAGCAGCTTCACGGTGGTAAACTTGTAAGCATCTGGCTACATTATTACTAAGCTTCTAAACAACTCTGATAAACTATAAAGAATAGAAGAGTGTTTCTTAAAGCGTATACCTTGTCCATCTTTCACAGTCTGTTCAATTAGATATATTTGATCTGATGTGTTACACCTTTACTTGCTTAGACAGTTCAGGGTTTTATGATGTAAATTCAACATCCTATGGCCCGTGTCCTTTAAAGGTTGGAAGAGGCTCAGACAGACCTAGACAGAGAATATTCTCAGAAATTCACCGTAGGTGTCACAGAGACAAAGCCTGCCCCCCTCCCTTGTCAAGAAAAGAAGAATCTTGCTTGCTGCCACAGCATATGGAGAATTGTCCCAATTTCTTTTCCTTTATATCAAATGCAATGCGTTTCAAGTCAAACCTTTTGTAGCCTATACCACATGCGATTTGGGCTCTTGTGTGGCGATGCAAACTTTGTGACTTTTTGATATCTCGGTGAGTGCTGTCTGACAAGTTTCTGTCACTCACGCTTTTTCCTTTTTCTCTCTCCACCAGCAAGCATATTTTCTACCCCATCTATTGATTAGCATACATCAAGCCCCTGTCGTCATGGCAAAACTTCATTTGAATCTTCAGTACTTTCCCCGTGTCTTTCAACCAGCAGCTGTCAGCCACATCAACACTAGACACGCTCTGCGCCAGACGAAGTTAAATTGAAGCACGCTCTAACACTATATATAGATAAAATGTCACTTCTTTCAAGAGACAAGGCACCTTCGAAGTCGTCAATACAGAGCGCTTTATCACGGGCAAAATAACTTTGAAACTGGAGAAAAGAGTAAAGATGAAACGATCATTCTCTCTTCCCACTTTGTGCTTGAAAGAGGGAAAAAACAAGATTATTCTAAAGTGGGTAGAAGCGTTTAAGGGGCTTGCTTTTTGATCTGCCTGTCCGTCACCGAAAACGAAGAGCACCTCCTGATGCTTCTGATCGTTAGGTGTCCTCAAAGTGTCTCAAAGTCTCTTTGTTATCGCTGAGTGCGTCGATTAAAGGGAGGAATATCATTTATTCATTTTGCCATTGAGCGAAAGAAAGAAAGGATTCAAGAGCTTAGCGTTCATTTTCGTCAAACTCTCGAGGTGCGGTGATGAAGTCAGCTTTCTTTTCCGAGACGAGCAGAGTTGAGGTAAAGAGATGTGGAGTGAAAGTTTTTGCTCGGCAAATTTTGAAAGGCCCCACTGATCTCTGAGATAAAATAAATGGTGATCAAACTTTATTAAACTTTACTTTTAACAGCATGCTGCAGGACGACAGTTCTGAGAAGAATTCTGTCTAACAAGATGTTATTGATGGTTGTAGCTAATGCATCAGCATATGCACATCAGCACACACACATGCACACAATCTCTCTCTTTCTATTATATCTATCTGTATCTGCCTCACACACACACACACACACACACACACACACTCAAGCACATTCAGACTGAGAATATATAGAATGCTTAAGTACATGTTTATTGGGATATGTCAAATTGATTTTAGGGATGTGGGCACACAAAGCAAGCCAGAATCAACACTCTGTATGTGCCTGGTTCCTCTTTTCACCAGAGGACAATGCCATATTCATCTTCGCTCCATTTTCCAAACGCGGTATCTGATTCTTTAACATGTCTCTCAGTCTGTAAGTCCTTTCCATTCCCACTGTTTCAGTTTTTTTTTTTTTTTTTCAAATACTCAGTCCTGTTGCGAGGTGTCTCTTAGAAGTTGAAAAGTTCTTTTCAAGCCCGAAGTTTTTGCCGTCTTCACTTTTCAACTGGCAAGATGAATATCGGTGGGACAAAGCATAGAAAGGAAAGGCTTTTGACAAGACTTCTGAAGGCCCAGGAGCTCGTCCTGTCGCTCCCTTTTGCAGTTTTCCCATAACTGGCTTTCTCGCGTGGCTGCTAAAAAGACACCGTATCAAATGCAAACTGAGAAGTCACAGTCTTTCATGATACATCAGTGGGGCCCTTGTGGAGATGCTGCTCTGCTTAGGTTTTTCACAACTTTAGAAAAATGAGAAATTGGTGCATTCTCTCTTGTGTTATCAGAGCTGCTGACAGTAAGTTCATGTTCGGTACGTGCAGAAAGACGATGCCATGAATACATGACCCAGAGCAAAGTCGAGTTTTAAAGTGCACCTTGTCAGACTTTATCTTACGCAGTATGTGACTCATATGTCATCTCTTTTATGAGAAACAATATATTGCTGTCATGAAATCACAGAAGTGGTGCCTACCTTGATATATTAAGCAGACCACTCTCATTCATAAAACTCAGAAATGTGTGAAATGCTGTCATATTAGAGGAATGGAGGGCAGCATTTTTGGTACAAAACAACATAAATACCCAAATAGTTTATTTTATTTTCATACAGGCGTGTGTTGCTCTTTGTAGCTTGTGCAGTCTGGACAATCTGCATTGGATATTTGAAGTCTAAACAGTCAGTGTTTTGTGTTCACCAAGGCTGGGGGCCCCATGGTTTAACACTTTCAAGAATCACTTTGTGGGGCGGCATCGTGGGGCAGCCTCAAGAAAACCTGAAATAGCTGAAACTAGACCTCTGTGCAAATAATCACCCTGGGCCTCTGTAAACCATCATGTTTATGCATTGTAAATTGTGAAAAGGAATGCTTTAACATTGTGTGGCATATGTATTTCAAGGCTTTGAACATTGGATGGTATCCGAATTTCACCCACACAACCACAGGCTTTTGCTCTCGCCTTTTGACTGAAATATCATTCAGATTCCAAAGGGACTAAAAAAAGGCAGCCTAAAGAATGTGTCTGAAACCATTCCCAAGCTGCTTCCATGCATTTAGCTATCACTGCTGCAGGGTCAAAAAGCTTCCACCAACTTCTCACTATTCTGAGTTTCGCTTTGGTGACCATGCGTTTTTTGAAATTACACAACAGTCTTTGAAAGGTTTGTCTGAATCTTGACTTCAAAAAGTCATAAATCCACAGAAGACATATTATAATCCTTCAAACCTCCACTAAAACTGGACATACAAGGTAACAACAGGGCTGCTTATATAAACACACAGTGGAACATATTTAGATGTTGCGTCAACCTCTCTTCCACCTTTGAAGGAGTTACGAAGAAAGGGTTTTGGCAGCAGTGCAGTCGCCACACCGGTTATCTCTTTCCTACACTGTAATTCACCTCATTTGTAACACACCTCCTCCTTTGATCTGTGTTTTTGAAACCTTGTCTCACAACCTGTTTGCCCACTGAGTCCTCGAAAAATACTGGGAACAGACTTGGTGATGTCATGACACACACAGAGAAAGATGCACCGACTCCTATCCTCAACAGGTTATGTTACCTTCAGTTTGTCACAGGCTCAACAAAACAGACACAGATGTCTCAAAGATTTGTTGGTTTCACCTTTGTACCTTCTCTCCCTGGGCGTACTTTATTTATTAGTTCAGCAGTTCAACTCCAGCTCAGCTATGTCCTACTCTTGAAATAGACAAAGATTTGAAATTTTCCAATTGACTCCCACTTGGCACATGTATTATAAGCAAATTAAGAATATGGATGGATATTAGGTCAGATTTTAAGGTATTGCTGTAATATATATATAATATGCATATTTTTCTGTGCTTAAGCAGAGGATAAAACTTGGAAATTTGTGGAAACAGCGTCTAAGCTAGGGGGCCATTTCACTTAGCAGCAGTTGTTGACTGACATCTGAGGGCAGAATTGCTTGGAGACCTAAGCGTTGTTTATGTACCCTTAGTGATTTAACTCTGTCCCTTTATAATATTCAACACATAACACAAAAAAAATAATTTTGTTTAATGAACATACAAAATCAAATCAAACACAGGGCCTAAAATGATCTTCTTAGAACAAGGGACAGTCCTGACAAGGCTTCCAGACAAAAACTGTCAACATGGCAGGCACAACAGGCACATTAAGAGCTTAACACTCTGCAGACATGCCTCAACGTATGCGCACACACATATTCATACACTCCCACATATGCACATGTATGCATTTACACACGACCAGGTAAAATCCTCTCTCCTTTGTGAGGCAGAGAGGTGATTTATATCGGGGAGAAAAGCAAGTAGGGTGACATTTTGGAGCTTTAGAGCTGGGATGGGGGGAGGCTTTGAAGGGAAATATATTCAGTTATGTCTGTGGAATGTCTTGGCAAGAATGTGCAAGGATTTTGAGCTCTCACCTCATCTGTGTAGCTGGTGAACTCTGGTTGCAGTAGCTTGTGCATTCCTGTTCATTTGACAACATGCAGCTAGTATTTTTTTAAACACTCGAGTCAGTGCCATATCATAGATTATCCCACAGCTCACTGGGTTACGGAGCCAGCAACAAATGAGCTTGAGTGTGGGAACAACCAGTGCTGGCATCAGTAGATGATTCGATTTACTAAAAGTTATAAAACATGATTGGATTTGTAATTGGCAGTTTGTTTACTGGGAAATAATCTAGCTTTTGTGTTTGTTTCTTACAGGTGGCGGCTAACATTTTGGAGGAAACATCATCAGAGTGGATCTTACATGCAGCAGTGGGTAAGTACATGTTCATGGCTTTAGAGCGCGCTGAGGAGATTGAAATTGAGGGTTTGGTGGTGGAGTTTGTAGTAACTTGATTGTAATAATATGTCAGTGCATCTGCATTTTGATTCCTCTGAAAAGCATGTTTATGGTACATGAATGATCAAGCATGTTACATTTATAGACGTAGCCACGCTGACCAAATAATCCATTTCTCTTTCCCATTTCTCACTGAATTGTTCAACCTTTCAAGCCTGGACATATAGTCATTCTTTTTGTGTCAAGCATTTTTTGGCCATTTTTGGCCTTTATTATGTAGCCTACAGTAAAGAAATGACAGGACTTGAGGGTAAAGACATGCAACAAAGGTCTTCAGCCAGACTTGAACTTGCGCCACTGCAGTGATGGTCATATTCGCTGTTTCGAAAAACAAAACAATCCCCTATTAGTGTTGTATTCCTGCAATCATGCTATCTGCAAACATCATACAGAATATCTTTATGATAATTTCACTTTATTTCATCTTCGGTCATCATTCATATTGCTTATAACAACATCGTACTGACAAGTTCATTGCGGAGATCTGGGGACATGACCACATGGCGGAGCAATAACCACAAACTGTCAGATGACCAGACAGGTTGTAAGTCGCAGGTTAGCCAAACGTATTAGGAAGAAGAACAAAAAAACAGCAGCATCATCAACATGATTAGAAACCAGTCCGTAAACATCCATCACAGTTTATAGATGGACTTCTTGATTCAACTTTGACCTAAAGCTGCAAGAATTACTCAATTGAAAGAAACGATTTAGTAGTTTTTTTCATACTTTAATGCCAGACATGAGCTTATTCCAGGTTTTCAAATATCAGGGTTTGATAGTAAATTAATGTTAAATGTCTTTAGGTTTGGGACTGCTAAGTACATTCACTCAAGTATAATTTTGACATACATATACTTCACTGTAGTATTTCTATTTTATGCTACTTTAGCCATTTTACATAATGGGTACTTTTACTTTTGATCCTTGCTGTTTGAATGCTATATGTGCAGAGTTTGACATAGAAGGATGATTTCACATTCATATGCTGAAAGTGGAAAGTTTCTCTGTGCTCATTGAAAATTAAGGGGCGGGGCCTACCAGCATGATTTGTGACATCACAAATAGTTTGGAAGTGGAGTAACATTTTTAATTCAGGCCTTTATGGTGCTACTCTTACTTAAGTAAAGGATCTGAGTACTTCTTCTACGTCTGCTGGTCAGACAAAACAAACAATTTGAAGATGTCACTTTGTGCTCTAAATTGATGAATCAATAATGAAAATAAATTATTAGCAACATTTCACTCACTTTTCAGTTGTATCTTTAGTTATATAATCTGGCTAAACTTTTGGCTTTTTTCCAAATCTGTCTGATCATCATATTTCTTGACTCGACTGTTGGAGTGATGTTGCCATGTTGCCAGATCTCAGTACAACGTTATCCTAACTGATAGGCCAAAACTTTAAATATAAGACCCAACCAGAGTTATCCTTTAAAGTATAGGATAAGCATGGAATTTGGAGATGGAATATGTGCAGGGACCCTGATTAAAAGGGTTCAACACATACACACATCCAAACACACACACACACACACACACACACACACACACACACACGCCATTAGTCCCCAGAGCTCCAGCTGCCCAGGGCTCTAAAGTCATGTTGTCCCAGTGTGATTGAAGGTCCAGCTGGTAGACCAGCCCTTTTGATCCCTTTCCCTTTTATGAGAAAGACAAACAGCTCTTCGTCGTCACCCACACTGGAGTGATTGATACACACACACACATTGGGATCACAGTTAGGCACACACATGCATGCACACATTCACAGGGTGATCACAGAGAAGCACATGTGCACATGCACACACACACACACTCGCATTTTCTTAATGGATGCCTTCTCTCCCACTGTAATCACTCTGCTAATGACCTGCTTGAACTCTGAATGAAACCCAGAGGGTGAGAACAAAAGGTGGAGAGAGAGAGAGAGCGAGGGAGAGATACAGTTGAAACCATTCAGTGTGAACATGGCAGCAAAATACATTTTGGCCCTGTCATTACCCTGATATATAGATTATAATGTGTTGAGGTTATTAGTAATAGTACATTATATAAACTGTATGTATTTTATTAATTTGGGGTTAAACACTGCCAATGGTTTTGTCTTAAAGGAACACATTCCACCCTAAAACTGAATTCACTACGAATATCGTGATATTTGTTGGTTTAGTTAGTATTTGGGAGATTTCCCAACGCTGGGAACCAGAGAGACAGCCTTGTTAAATCAGAGTGAACTGAAACAGGCTAATGAGTTAATGACGATGGGACCAGGAAATGTGGCATATGAGTGCAGAATCACTCTGGCCACTGTCCATTACTGTAAATGTTTCCCCTGTTAAATGAATGTGACACCACTTCAGCACATCACTGACACAGTCTTGGCTCTCTTTTACACAGCTTTTGGAAATTCATATGTCCTTCATGTTCACATCTCTTGCCCAAAAGCCCAGGGATACATTTTTCTTCCTTCAGCTGGTAGAGTAGTTGTATCTACTTTGAATTTCTACTTGCATCCAACATGCTGCACATCTGCCTCCAAGTTGTGTCATGGCTGTTGTGTCTGGCTGGTGACAAGCTGCTCTTGTTGTGACTCTTTCACTTCCTGGTATTATTTATTTTGTATGTTACTGATGTGTTTTGTCTCCTAAAACTGAGCTTTGTTTTGTATTTGAATGTTAAAAGAATTTGCCTGTATGGGAGCAATAAACCATTCCTTCAACACGCATAACTTTAACAAGCCATTCCATCTGTTGCTATTACAATGCTGCTTATATTTTGTCTATTACTGAGTTCGTATGTCTTATTTTCTTCAAGAAAGTACGTTTTCAGCACTCTATGGGGATTTTCTTGCTGTGATCTGCTTCATCTGGTCTTGTTCCAAGATGAGGACGCTCATTTATAGAAATTTTCTAAAAAAACAAAAACAAAATTCTACTGAGATCCAGGGATATACATATTTTAGGAGCAGTGTCTAAGTTGAGACAAAGGGCACACCATTGTACTACTGCTTATTAAACTGAACATCACAGTCTAAAAGAACATTCAAGATTCAAAGATTGAAAAACTACTGTCTGCCACATAATGTTAGAAAAGTGTCTTAAGTAAAGGAAGTGGTTCTCATTTTTCCCCCAAAAATGTATTAGAAGTAACTAATAAAAAAGGATACAAGTTGAATTTTAGTGAAATAAAGGTCAGCACAAGAGCACCAGCAAACTGTTGTTAGTTTATTTACCTACATAAATCCCATTCACTTAGTTCCACTAGATGTGTTTCCCCTGGTCATCACGCCGCAGCTTCATTTATAAAGATACATTATCCATAAGGTTAGGTCAGAAGCGTTTTGACAGTGCTAACAACCCAATACAAAAATTTTTAGCATTAACAAACCTTTTCCTTGTTTTAAGACACATCAGCCATGAAGACCAAATGACCTAATAAGACAATTTTCAGCATACTGCTTCAAGTGAAACATTCATATGGATCTGGAGCAATTGGTTTTCATATAAACACAGTTTTAGTTTAATATAATTGTATATCTTATGAGGACTGAATGGATCCACTGGATGCAAAACAGGAACAACTTGTGTTATGATTTTCAAGCTAATATCCAACCTGAATGTTTGAAGTGGGGGTTTTCCAGTGGTTGGCTCTCTCCCCCTTTGGAAAACCGAGGGAACAATAGAGGGGCAATAGTGTCGAGACAGGAGGGGAAGAAGGGAATGTGCTACACATTCTACACTTCCTGGGTCCTCACTGCCCCAGAGGCATTTCAGGGCCTCCTTACATGGGAGCCATCCATACATGGGATTTGCATGAAACTGACTTTGATGGGATCTCCCTGCAGCTAAAGTGCTGGGACGCAACGTGTGTTCGGACTCACAACTGGGCACTGCACGGTGGATGAGAAAGAGCTTCCGCTCAGAAAAGGGTGTCATCTTTCTCATTTTTGCGGCACATGGCGTCAGGATGTCTGGGTTTGTTTTTAGAAGGCCAGTTTGTAATGATAATCTATGAAGAGTGTGACACAGACTCATACATATACCTAATGTGCTGTAAATAGCTTGGGATCAATAAAGTCTATCTATCTATCTATCTATCTATCTATCTATCTATCTATCTATCTATCTATCTATCTATCTATCTATCTATCTATCTATCTATCTATCTATCTATCTATCTATCTATCTATCTATCTATCTAAATGCTTATTTCACAGTGGATATATAGATATAGAAAGAGCACAAGAGGGAGGGCTGGGAGGGTGTGCAGGATGAAGGACAAATGCAGACAGAAACAGACTACAAATAAAGATGGAAAAAGATAAAGAGTTGGAAATCCACTAAGGCAGACAGACAGAGAAACAAAGGAAAATCGACACAGAGATATGGGCGAGAGGAGAAGGACATATGAAGTAAAAAGGACAGAGATAGAACAAAAAGATGAAATGAATGAATTGAGATACTGTGAGTCCTAGGGGTCAGCTTCTTTTTCTCTTTCCCCTCCTCTCCCTCTCTCTCTTACGGTAATCCCTCCAGTAGCAGTGAGCTGTTAGGCTCCTCCATAAATCAGCGTTTGTATGAAATACCAGCGGGAGCCAAAGGTCAAAGGAGAAAATTAGCAGCTGTCTTTTCCTCTCCTTTCATGTTAGCCGCGGGGCTAATCGCCAAGTGCGCCATCAGCCTCATTTCCACTTTAAAACAAACTCCCCGACAAGCTGGGGAGGAGCTGTTTGCCCGCTCTTACATTTTATGGCACCGGATTTTATTCTGAGAGGGAGGAGGGAGGGGGAGGAGGGGTGGTGGGAGGGTCCTCTGTACTCCTGCTTTCTAGTGTCACCCTTCTCTTTCTACACTCTTTTTCTTTGCTTCCATCCATCCCATCATCGTCAGGTGTGGGAGGGCAAATAGTGGAGC